AAGATCAATCGATTTTTTGAAAAAAGTTCGTTGGTTTTACACTTGTTGCAAAAAAAAAAAAAAACTTTAAAAAAAAAATTACTTAAATAAATTTTTCAAAATAATATGACGCGAAATCGGTTCCCGCAAACTAAAAAAAAAAACATTTTTTTCCTAACATCTGCTCGCCCCTACCCCTACAAATCAAAATTCTCAGCCAAAATGTTACTGATCCTTGTAGAAATATATTAAAAGTCATCATCTCTTTTAAATGTAAATTTTCCAAAATATGTCGTCATATGGGCAGTGACCGTAAAAATGATCCCATTCAGTCCATTCTCAATAGCGTCAAAGAGGCAGGTGGATAGAAGGATCAAGAAGTGATTTTGAACCAATTGATATAACGAAACGTGGAACTATTTCAACTCTCGCTAGCTGTTGCCAACATCCGCACAACCTTAATAACCACTACGATTGCCACAGATGGTATCAGTTGTAAATATTTAAAATTAATTTTTATTCTTCATTATGTAAACCATTCATTCATTTAATAAATTTTTTCCAGAGAATAATTTCTCTGTATAAGTATTTATTAAATTTCTCGAATGTCTTGCCCGGAGCCTGAGTGGATATGTGTACAATTGGATTACATATGTAGCACATATACGCATACGAATTTGGTAGATGTTCAAGTGTATTCATTCTGTTTACTTTTCCCTTAGTCGACAATTGGGCTTTCTTTAGACATCATGTTAATAAGAGAGTGTTGGTTGCTATTTTATTGTCGTCCTTACCCTTAACACCAAAGACACAAGTGTTGTTCATTGCTTTTACGTGATTTAATGGAGTTTTGTGGTTTTTTGCAGCGTCACACAGACGCCCATTGATTATTAGATACGTGCTAAGATCATACACGCGTACACATATGTACATACACACACACACACATGTACATACATATACGTATAAGCTTAACATCAACGCAAAGATATTTATATTTAAACCGATACATACCATAATTTTTGTCCATTTTCAACCAAAATATAAACTAAAACGCATATCCCACAATGTGCAGACATTCCATGATAAATATTATAATGGCTTAGTTGGCACATAATCTCATGCGCACACAATTTCAAATATTTATTTATATATATACTTGTATGATTGTATGCAGATAAGTGTTTATAATGTCAGTTAATTTCAATGCTTTTTTTTTTTTTTTTTACTCATAATTATTATATTATTACGTGTGCATGCACGCTTGGCCATTATTTCTGCTGTTGCTGCTGTCATTTTAATCATGTTAATTTGAAGATTGCCCTAATTAGCATAAAAATCATTTTAAAGTTTTTGTTATTTAATAGCCATATATATATTTTGCAGTTCGTACAATTCGTTTGTGCAAAAAGAGAAAAAAAAAAAAATGAAATAAAAAAACTTTTCCTTTAAAATCAGTTTAAGCTGAACTTGCTTGATGAATATCCATCATAAGCAAATCAAAGTGAGAGGTTTAATTAATGATGGGCGCCTTTTTAGGTTTCTCAAGAGTATTTTCGCAGCCAAAACTTAAAATTCCAATATGTTTTTGAAAGTTCTTTTTAGCTTTTTTTAATTATTGAAAGTACGCTTTCAAAGTTTTCCTTGTAGAGTTGCACTAAAAATACATATGCGAAATTTTAAATTTCTATCTTGATTTTATGCGCATTTAAGAAGTCAATCAAATGCCAGCACCAACAATAATGAGAATTTTTCATTTCGCGTTTACTTTCTTAAAAGTGTATTATTCATCGCATCACTATTCGCGATAAGGGCACAATAAATTGTGCGGATGTGTGCTGTACCGGCAAGGATTTGATATAGGTGTACGCTTCATTACACCAACGATGGATCGATGCGAAATGAGATTTTGAATCATTTTCTGATTCGATTTAGGCACGTCTATCCACCTGTCTGTCCGTCTATGCTAAAATCTACCCACTCGTTTACGAACTACAGGTTGCAGTTTTCGAGTTATTTTCATTGAATTTGGCATATTTTGCCATAAGTACAAGCAATATGAAAAACAAAGTGAATCGTACTATATTTAAGATCACAAGTCATAAAACCTATTACGAAGAAGTTATTATAAGAAAACTGTCTTCAATCCTTGACACGTTCACAATAAAAGTCCTTGAAAAATAGTAATAGTATAGCATACTCAATAAGTGTCCTATCTGACACATACATATGACATCGCTATTGAGAGACACATATAATTTTTGGATAGTACCAACAATTAAACCTTCATCAGTTTATAAGTTACGGTTGTTTCAGTGAGGCTGATCTTATTAATTTCGAAATATTTCAAAACTTGGATTTTCGTTTGTTGATAAAACGTTGCGTTTTGATGAGAAAAAGTACCGTCCACAAGCAGCGTTGGCCTGAAAGCGTTTATGCTGAGTCTTGTCCAGAAAACCTAAAAAAAAAGTTCACAAAGTAATGTTGGAGCACCGCTAAGTAAAGTTACGATAAATAGCTGTAAATAGTTTAGCTGCATCTACTACGCATCTCATTTGATATATAAAATACATTTCGTAGGATTTACGAATGCATGCGAAATGAATAAAAAATAACGATATTATAGATGATTTTTGAAGGAAGTCCTTGGGGAATCTTATTTCAAGCATTTCTTCAAGGCATATGCAAGTTCTTTACATCCAATTAAATTGCTATACTTATGCTGAAATCTTAGAATCTCTCAATTCTGCAACACTTCACTTGTGAATCTTACTTTGTCAACATCGATCGCACCATCGATATCCACAAGACGTTTGCTTCTTTAAATGCATCTATTGGAGAAGCAACGTTATGCCCATATTTATGATACTTAGAACATGCAGAGATTTCTTGTGCAGCTTGCTAAGCAAAAGTTGAAACAAATGTTCTTGCGCGTTCTTCTCCCCATAACCAGATATTGTAACTTGAGAATAATTTGTACGAAAAGACGGTCATTTGAAAAAGAGTATTTAAATTAAAATGAGAAAAAATTATATTCGACTTGCGTCGATTTGTTAAATGGCCATGTACGCGATATTTTATCGCAAAAATCGTAGATCACCGATCAATTCGTATTGTATTCTTTCCCTTTTTTCATTTAATTTGACAACGCCTCACGCAAGTAACTGATACAATTATGCATGGCTTCACAAATTCAAATATATGGTCCAATTTAGCTGATTTTCGATCTCGACCCGGAAAAATCTAAGATACTTCTTATTGCTCTAAATTTTCCAACGCAAATTTTGCGCAGATCCATAAACCATTTTTGCGAATTTTCGAATCTAATCTATAAAGATTGACGGGAAAACATTGAATTTTGTTCTTGAAAGATAAAGGGCTTGAAACAGACCTGGCTAAATCAATGTTAATATTCACACTAGTCAAAACTAGTACACACCCCCACGACATGTCATACCATTCCCTCTTAAAAGGAATGCAAAATCCATACCGAAATTCATATTTTTTGCGGGTTTTGGACTTGCTAGGTTATGAATTTCTGCACAAAAGAAAATACACACATATATATCGGACTGAACTTTTAATTATCATCACAGAACCAAAAAAAAAAAACTAGCTTGAGTAACAGTCAGTTACTAAAAGACTGCAATGTACGTGGAACGGGATTAGAAACGTTCAGATGCAATTAAGTCAGAATATGGTTGATTAGACGTGTTTACGGAAAGAGCTAACATTATTTTACCAATTTTATAAACAAACAATGAAAACTTCGTTTGGTTTTTGGTTTGATTTATCTGACTGTTACTTCATCATCCGAAATTGTAATGTGATGATAGTAGTGTGACTAGTGTTCTTGAGCATTACGGCCCTCGTCAGATGCGTCTTATAATTGGGAACTAACCATGGCGGACAGCGCTAAGTGAAAACCTCCTGTGAAACCTGGGTTTTCTGCAAAGCACTTACAAGAAAATATGCCACGTCACGAGAAAGCGTTCGGATATTAATCAGTATTCAATAAAACTAGTAAACTAGTAAACTTTAAATCAATTCATGTATCACAATTGTGTAACTTACGCAGCCAAAATGCAGTCTTGGTATTAAAAGACATCGACGACAACAAGAGTTGTATTGTGCTTATAAAAACGTATATAGATACGAAAGGCGAAATTTCGGCAAAGAAATATAGAGACAAATGTCGAATTTTATAAAACAAAAAACAAAAAGAAGTTGAAGATAGTAATGCGATGGAGGAGTTCGAAAATCCGTACTGACCAAAAATTGAAGAGCTTCGATATGTTTATTCAACAAAATAATGCATTTGACAGCGAGCTGCACGAAACGGCGGAAGAAAATTTTAGAGAAACTGAAAAACTAGCTGAGATAATCGGAGAAGTAAAAGAAAAAGGTACCAGCAAAGCAACTTAAAGTAGATCAAATGCTGGCATAGTAAAGGTTAGATGTGATGGTTAAAGCACCTGTAATTAAAACGGCTTTGCCTTGAAGTGTAAAACCGGAAGTTAGATGAAGGAGTCAAAGTCTAAACTCGATATAGTGAAGAAAGTAGATCCCAAAGTATTGAAGATAGCATATGCGTGCGTTTGCGAAAACAATGGCATAATATTGAGTAATGGTATTGGAGAAGATGAACGTGTGAAAGGAAAGACGACCATCGAAAAATCTACGCCAAAAGACACTCAAGAAATTGTTTCTAAGAATAAGAATATTTAACATAGGCTTTGGCAATGAGAGTGAAGAGAGTATTAGTAAAACGACAGTTGTTTAAGAGTCATTAGGAATAACGAAGTTAAATAACGATAACCTACCTAAAAGGATAAGATAGGGGGATAAGAAGAAAGAAAGATAAGAATGTTATGATTCAGACGAACACAAACGTGCTTGTTGAAGGAGGGAGACTGTGAGATGTAGTATTCGACAAATCGTAATGTATTTTCTTGTTACTCTCTAAAGCATTGTATCTCTGGTAAGCTAGCTCAACTTTTTTAAATAAAACATATCACATATTTTGTTTCTGTTATAACAATTTCAATGTGTAGATATACGATTTTCTAAATTTTATTTCCATTTATTTCTATTACTTTTTGCAGTGTTTATAAGCCATTACCAAGAAACTAGCTATACTTGATAATGAGCAGAAAAAAAAAATTTAAATGAAAAAGGATTATACATAGTACATATGAATAGCAAAGGAACAAAGATGTAGGCGAGTAATGTTTTTGTTTTTCGTTCTACACATATTCCGTCATATTGGAAATTGACGCTTTTTTATATTATTTATGAATCAATTTAAGTAGATTGATTTTTTGTTGTTGTAAATATGGGAAGATAGTGGCAAAACAACAAAGTTAGAGCATGAAGAAAATAATAATCAAAGGAAAGTGTCTAGAAGTGTATATATTAATGGTGAATTTTATTATCTTTTCGAGCCCCAAGCATTATTACTGGGCACCGGCACACGACGTTGACCAGATTCACGTTGTATAACATCCATAATGCTGGTAACTGGAAGCCAACACTACGAAGAAAAAATGCATTACTTTATTATTGATTTTAAGTGGAAAGAAAAAAATGTTTGGTTTAAGAACAACCCACCCTGTCTCTATAGGCCGTAGCTACGACATTACGATTTGGTTCAGCATCATAAGCCACAGATTCGACGCCAAACATCTCACACATTTCATGAACGAGTTGTCTCTTTTCACGATTCATGGTGGGAAATGAATGCGAACGTGATTTCTGTTTACTCTCTTTGGCCAATTTAACTAATGTGGTTAAGGCTTCATGAACAGATTTCACCAAAGCCGGGTCACGCTTAGCAAAATTACGTATAAATTCAGAATATTTTGTCATTAATTTTTGCGGTAAATCGGGATTACGTGTCTGCAAACCGACAGCTAGACGGCGATTACGTTCCATCAAGCGGCATTCATCATTACAATCAAGAGTTTTGTTGGTTTTATTAGAAAACTTGACTGGAGCTAAAATCTCACTCAACTCCATGTAATTACCGCGTTGCATTTCAGCCATAGACGAAGCCAATTGAGCAGTAGCAATGCGACTGTACTCACGTGCTAACTCATGACAAGGACGCATCTGTTTACGATGACCGCACTCGCACTGAACCTCGACCTGGAAGCGAGGGAAAAATTATAAACTCCTTTCAATTGTTTTCTCATAATTTCTTACCATTTCCTTGCACTGGGTTTCAGGACAGTCGCCTTCATGGCAAGGGGCCATGCACTTATGACCGCATGATGCTCTCAGTATGGGACAACTTTGCTTGCAAATCTCTCCTGCCACCTGGCAAATACCTTCGTGACAAGTTTTTATACATTTATGTCGACCACACGGCAACGGTTTATTGCAAGCCATGCCGCAGCTAAAACTCTGTTGTGAGCATGGAATGGTTTTGCGCTGCTCATGTTGCCCGAAACACCATTTAGTGGTAAACATCATGCATGGAGGACAACTTGCAGCAGAGTGGCAATTGTGCTGTGGAGAATGGTCGCAAGGATGCTTACGTGAACACGGCCTCTTGCAAAGCGGTCGCTTAGTGCCGCAAGGCACAGGTGGGTAGATAACCTCTGCTCCGCATTCACAAAATAATTCCTCAAATGAAGATCGGTAACATGGTGGGCAATTACCGCGATGACAGGGTTGATCACACTTATGCTTGCCGCACGACAATGTATAATTGCAAGGCAGTGGACAAATATGATCAATGTCAATGCAGCATTCCTGATTGCATTTATGTTTACCGCAAGATCGTTTTTTAACACAACGCTTCTTACACCGTGCGTCATCAGCCCTTGTGCTTAAGTGACGACATTTTATCATTTGATCCATATGGCCGCAACGGCATTTAACTGCAGTCTGCTTATTACAAGGTGGACAATTGCCCAAATGGCATTTGCTGGTGCAGTGATGGGGATGAGCCGGTTTGCCGCAGCGCAAAGTTTTACCACAAATACCTTCACATAGTGGAATGGGGTCCAAGCAAGAAGTCCGCTGTTGAGGAACTATAGGCATTTTGCCACAAGGACAAGAAGTCACTATTTCAGGTGAAAGTTTACATGGGCGACATTCACCAGCATGGCAGCAATCTTTGCACTTGTGATTACCGCAAGCCAAGTCCTTGCCACAGGGTTTTCCACATGAGTAGACGTGTTTATCGTGGGATTCACGAGTACAAGCCACCTGACGTTCCTGCTTAGAACAGTGGCATTTCTGTTCTACCTTTTCCTTGCACGGTGGACATTTGCCCTGATGACATATTTCTTGACATCGGTGCACTTCGCAATTCAATAACTTGTCACAGATGGCATCACATTCTACGGTATCTTTTACACAACATTGCATAATTTTAGTTGTTTTCCCGCATCCACATTCTCGCTTAACATTGGCTTGACAAGGAGGGCAAGGTCCAGGATGACACAATAAAGTACAGGCATGCGTGCAATTTTCAACTCGACTGCAGACTTCGCCGCATGAATGAGCCAAATCTTGCCTGTTCTGCAATGGATTCTTTATCTTGCCGCAAAAACAATAGTAATCGCGCGGCACTTCTTTCACAACATTCTGACAAGCTGGACAACGCCATCCATCATCTGACTTGGAAGATGAGGCCCATTTGACAATGCACTGTAAGTGCAAAATATGATAGCAATTGTGACAGGACCAAACACCCTGATGACCCTTGATCGGTTCAACACACACCAAACACTCTAAACGTCTCGTTTCAATGTCTCGTATCAATTTTTCACGTTGCGATAATTTCTCATTTTCTGGATAGAATTTCTTCGGTGAATTACTAATATGCAACTTCTTTTCAGGTGAATGCAATGGACTATCTTTGATGTTGTCAGTTGAGTACTTCTCCTCCACTCGAAAACCATTAACGCGATCACGGTTCCGATTCCAATCATCACGTCTTTTGCTGCTACGATAGCTATCGTAACGTTGATGATAGTCACGATCACGATTCACACGGTGATGTCCGTGACTATTATAGCCTCTTTCGGAACGTTCTCCCCTCTCTACATAGCGTTCAAAACGATCTTCACGATCCTGATAGTCCTGCATACTACCTCCACCACCAATACTACCACGACTACGACTGTTCTGGAAACGCCTTGCTTTCTCTTGAACAATTTCTGTTTGGTGAATTTTATCTTCGTTAGCGTCGTTCGTTAACTTATTGAGAGTACCGCTTGCCTTTTGTACCATTCCTGTTGATGACGATGATGAATTGGAATTAGGCGAGCAGTCATTCCGTTGATTATCCAAAAAATTACGTGAAAATCTTTCCATATTTTTTTCGATACGATTGTAAGATTTTTTTTGAATGTGGGGATTGTAATTACTACTTCCTCCATCGTCATCTGTTTGTTTTTCTATTTTATCTTGAGATGTATCATATTTTTGCGCACTTTTAACGAAGTCCTCTTGTCCTTTTACGGTTAATTTCTGCTCTTCCTTCTTTGCCAGGTTTTCTTCGGTTTGTGAGCCGCATTGAGAATTACTGAAAGCAGCCGCCAGATCAGTTTTCTGTTCATCAAATAATACATTATCTTTGTTATTCCATATAGTTTGATTTTCGTTCAACGAAAGTTTATCGAAACGTGGCACAAATTCAGGTGCGTTTACTTGTAATTTTGTTGCTGTAAAATCGAATCCTGTCGCGAATGGATTTGCATAGTACGTGGTATTGCTATTGAAAGGCGTATATAATTGTTCGTAACTGTTGCTATTGTTTATGCTGTTGTTGTTGTTGTTGTTATTGCCTCTATTGTATAAATTTTGTGCTGCTCCCCCCGTATATATATTATTAGAAGATAGACCATCACTAAAAATGCTATTTGCAGCATTTTGATTATATGAGAAACCCAAGGGATTTCCAGGAGAATAATACTGAAAAGTTAAAAGTTAGAATGGGATCATAAGCTGCTGTTCAAGCAAACAGATGAGTCATATTTAAAACTTGTGACAAGTTAAATTTAAATAGATTTTTAAAAAAATTACTCACATTTCGTTGGTAAAACGAATCTGCTCCAATAGTGTTGGTGTTGTTATTGTACGAGAGCTTGTTAACCCCCAGTAAATCATCCCCAGTATTGAAAACATTGGTTAAGTTTGTGTAAGCCGTTTCGTTGTTTACCATTTCATCCTTACCGCCACCATTAGTTCCCAATAAATTATGTTGCATGATGAATTGATTAAAATTTACGTAATTGTTACTTTTGCTATTGCTCTTGCCGAAAGAGGAAAGCCCCAATGCACCAGGGCTATTATCGCCTTTATCTTCAACGCCATCTCTCCTGTTAAAAACCTCACTTGCTGTCACGTCATTATCGGAAGATGTCCCAAATTCTGGCCACAATTGTGACAGCGACGGCTGATGTATTGTTTGCTGAGTTTTAGAGTCAGCGGCCGACATGACTGACGGCCTTTATTTGGGGAAAACACGTTGTCCGTTTTTAATGATTTTTCGGCTATTAACTTTCTATATCTACGAAGGCCTCATAAGGCCAAAATGGTTTTCCACAAGAATGCAATACCGTCTTTCTTTTCGTTTTAGTCACTTCTAATATGAAAATGTAAAAAAAAAAAAAGAAATGAAAAGAATATAACCTTTCTTGGGCCCACGTAGAGCGGCACGCTTCGTTTGTGTGTGTATTGCTCCTTTTTTCTTTTTTTATTACAAACGAAATAAAAATTAATTGTCAGATATTTCTAGATGCATTTGATAATGTTTCAATTTAAATATCGTGAGATGTTTGCTCTCTTCTGTATAAATATCAAAATTTGTTATAAAATATGTGCAAGAAAGCAATACACACACGCAATAAGGTTTCGGATGATTTTGCACGATTTTTTTTCTTTTGTCAATTTCACCAAATGCGATAATTTTTTATTCTGTTGGCTCATAAAAATACAAATGAAAAATTATCGATGTGCACCGTATTGATGACACACAGTCTTGCATTTTTATGTACGCAAAACTAACACTCAATACTGAGACTTTACGTAAACAAATGTTAATGCGTTATCAGAAAGAAAATAAAAAGTTTCGAAGTAATAAGTTTTGCATCAATTAGTATGAATATTCGTTTTCGCAAATATATTTCTTCGACTTATATATATATTACATATTTCATACAATTATCTGTGAGGTAGCAGAACTTAAAATTGGAAAGTTTAGTGCAAAAGTTAAGATGTAAAAGATGTAAACTTCGGAAGCTAAAATAACACAAAATACTCCAGCAGAGAAATGGAGTTGGCGTAATTGCGGATAAGCCGACTTTCAAATGAAAGGTCAACAAAAGTAACCGGGTTGAAACCTTAATATAAACGCAGTTCGTCAAAGCATTGCACACACAAAAGAACTTAACTCTCCACCAAAATAAGTTTGACAAAAAAAATCAACAAGTATTTTTTCGTAAGTGTTAATAAAATTTTACAGGAACCGTCGGCAATTAGAAGAATTGCGGGATTGCTCGAACTCTGTCGTTTTTCCAATTTCGTTGAATTAAATTTAATACTGAAACATTTCTGAATTTGGTATGGCCTGAATTCTTACCACCTCTTCAGGATAAGTCCTTCTTCTTAATTAATAAATAGCGATTATATAATAAATCAATCCGCATTTGTACTTTCCATACTTTTATTTGATCTGTTGATCTTAAAATTACATTCCGGATTTCAGAAAAACGTAAGATTACGGAAACTAGCTCACGACTGCTACCATTAACAACAAATGTCGTGGCTACATCAAAACATTTTGTCTATATATGATTCCTAATATTTTGAGGCATGTTTAACACGGCGAGAATGCTAAAAATATCCTTTGTATATACAAAAGAATGTTTAATGTTCAGAACGTTATGAACATAATTCTATTTAGCAATACAAATCTGAATACATGTAAACATAACAATGCCTAATAAAATTGAGGCATTACCGTTTATTCCGCGTTTTTCCTTCAAGTTACAAGTGCTTGCAAGAAAAATTAAAATTAAAAACAAAGTTAGTCTGAAAATTAGTGCCAGTCCAAATTTGTGTTTGGTCAACACTCAAATCAAATTTTAATAGCTTTCTAATACACTCAAGTTTGGCAAGTTTGGTTTGTATTGTTTGCTGAGTTTCAGAGTCAACTGACTGCTTTGGAACGGGACGGTGGACGAATGTAACCTCTCTTGGGTTCACGTAGAGTGTATCGCTCATTTTTTTATTTCAAACAAATTCGAAATTGTTTGAAGTCATTAGTCGCGAAACGCTCTCTCTCTCTCTCCCCCTTCTATTTAAATATCAAAATTTGTTATAAATGTGTGCAAGAAAGCAATACACACACGCAGTAAGGTTTCTTTTCTTTCGTCAATTTCATCAACTGCGACAATTTTTTATTCTGTTGGCTCATAAAAGTACAAATGAAAAATTATCGATGTGTACCGTATTGATGACACTCAGATTTGCATTTTTATGTACGCAAAAGTAACAATTTCAATAGTGCAACTTGTACTTAAACACATGTTAAAGCGCAATCAGAAAAAATAAAAAATTTCGAAGTTTTGCACCAATTTGTATGAATATTCGTATGTATCTAGTTTCAGATATGCAATGAAAGATAGTCTGGCAGAAAAACAAAATTATAATAAATTTAAATAAGAAACTCGAATTCTCTACGGACACACATATTAATTCAATCTTATTTTACTTCGACTAATTGTAGCCAGGTTAGTGCATCATGTATTTGTTTTGCCTTATTTATTATATTAATATTTTTCTTATGTATATAGATACGATATATGCAAATACTTTTATTGCGCTCGTTTTCGGACATATACTGTTTCGATCTATATTCATATTATTTTAAATAATTTTTTGCATAACATAATAAAATTGGACAGTTTTCAGTATAAACAGCAAAAGATATAAACATTCAAAATAAAAATGGCGGAAAATGCTCCAGCCTCAGTAGATGTGCAGGTATTAATTACTATACTTTAATGCCAATTAAATGCTAATAATTTCATATTTTAAGGAAATACAATTTAAACTACACAGCAAGCTTACTGCCTTTAAAAACACTCAAAATAATTTAAAAAGTGTTATTGGTTTGTTAGCTGTCGCTTCAAACAAGGGCTTAATGTTTATCGGGAATCCTAATTCGAAAGAATTTAAAGGTGATTAACGCTCGCACCGCTCATAATTGTACAGTTTAAGAATTTTTCTTCTTCAGTTTTGCAATTGAAGGATCTTTCCGACGAAAAATCTAAGGATGTGAAAGTTCGAATTGTACCTTTAAGCGATAAACCTCTGGCGTTAGCTTGCAATTGCGATGGTTCCATGTTAGCAGTCAGCTACGTTTTAAATAACACTGGCTTCCTGCAAATATTTCAGGTGGAAAGCTTCCTAAATTTAGTAAGGCAGCAATTTTGTATTTTCAGTTATAATTTTTTAATGACAACATTTTTTTGTAGAATATTGCTACTCTTTATAATCTACCCATTGCTCCTCAGTTCAATATTTTTTCAACGCAGCTGCTTTGGAATCCAGTTTTAAACAACAATATTGCCTTAATTTTGAGCGATGGTTCAGTGGACATGTTCACTTTGAATTCAGGCGGCCAATATGATAAAGTTACTCTAGGTAAAGAACATCAGGTTATGTCGGGGTGTTGGTCACCTAAAGGAAAACAAATTGTTTTTGGTTTCCCTGAAGGGAAACTGCAGCAATTTAAACCTAACTTAACTCCGGCTCGGGTAATAAATTGTCCGCAAGGCTTATATGCAACACCCTTTGATGTTATAGCTGTTCATTGGTTGTCTACCTTTCAATTTGCTGCTGTATTTTTACAGAAGGGAGAAGACATGTCACCTTCTCTATTTATTATAAATGCGCCGAAAGTGGGTAAAACCATATTTATCAACTATTATGATATTTGCTATAGTGGTCCCGGGCCTCGCGTGCAACAATTTACCTTTACTCACATACAACTTTGGAATCTGTTATTAGTAACCTCTGCCAACGGTGTTGAAGTAGGTCTATTAGGTACCAAAGACTCGGGAGAGAATCCTGCTTGGCTACAATATGCATTATTGGATGAAGCCCGAATTGAACTACCATTAAGCGAGACGAAAGATGAAACTTACCCTATGGGTTTTGCCTTCGATACATCAACATCGCATCAGTTGGTAATTGGGGAAAAAAAATTGAGTACAATGCCGATGATTCATGTTTTATCTACACATGGTCATTTAATATCATTTAATTTTTTAAACTTGAGTGAAGGGGCTGTTAATTTATGTTCTCCGCCTCCGCCTTGCACGGACTTGTCGGGAAAATTCAAGCCACTGGAAGAAACCATAGAAGCTAATGATATGAAAACTACAAACAATCTCGAAGCGACTGCAGCAATACCTACAATAGGAAAAGGGCTTGATGATACGACATTTGTTGTAGGTTCGAACGTAATCACTTCTACACCGGCACTGGTAAGCGGAAAAACTTGGAAAAAATCTTCTCTAAATTTTCTTTCCTTAGAAAGAGAAGCCGTTGCCTTTATTTGCCAACAATTCTAACTCCGCTCAAATAAGTACAGCTAAGCCGAGCTCAGGCTTTAACGTAGGTAACAACAAACCCACAAGTTTCTTTACACCCAGCATCTTTCCCACGCATTCTCCAGAGAACATTACATCTGGTGATACAGTAGGATTCGTAGGGCTTGGTAATCAAACAGTGACAAGCAACAATTTAACATATGAAGGTTTGTAATTTAAAGTGTTAAAAAATTGTTTTTTTTCATTTGGGAAATATTTCACAGTAAAATCACCCTTGAACGGTACAGGTTTCACTCAACAAAACACTTATTCAACTGCACCTAAAGGCAATGACGCTTACAAAGCTTTGTATACTGTGCCACCTACGTTTACACCGCCATTACCATCACAGCAATCGCAGAAGCAGGACAATCCTTCAAAAACTAAAGGGCCTACTGGCGATGAGAGTATACCCTCAGATACTTCCGCAGTAGACGAGTTCGTAAAACAAATGATTTGTGTGCAAATCGAAGCATTTGAGAATGAATTAAAAGAATTCCGACAACAAACTTTTTCTATGTTAACCAATGTAAGATGCACTTGATCGTTTGGCTTGTTACAAATTTTAATCTTTTTTGCATTGTAGATAGGAAAGACCAATGAAATGAAACCTTGCTGTAAAAAATTAAATGATTTGAGCGTGATTATCAAGCAAGCCAATGATGGGGCACTTGAAGAAGAAATTATGAATTTGAGACAAGAAATGAATGAAGTTTATGCTATATTAAAAGAATATCGAACAAGATTGGACCTATACAATAATCCAGAGTAAGCGCAAGATTTATATATTTAATTGTGTAATAGCAGGGATCTGGAATTTCATCTTTGTTTCTAGCTTATCTCGCCTAACCATAACAACTATTGCCGACCCCGCTAATCAGCGTCAACTTGCCAAAGTGCGCAAAGATGTCGATTTTAATGCAGTTAAATTAAATCAGTTGCAACAACTGCTGGAGGACCAATGGGCTGAGCATCAGGATATCGTGCGGCGAAATAGTAAACATCAGATCCATATGCCTTATTTGGACGGTATCTATCAAAAAATGTCGCTGATTAAAGATCTCTTATCCAGACAGCGTTCCAAACTAGACCACGTTAAAACTAAAATGAGAGAAAAAGGCTTGTATTATAAGCCGGCAACGAGTGTCTCAAATAGAGATACAATGTAAGAAGATTACGGGAGATTTTTCGATATTTGTATTTGCTTATAATTTGTTCTCTTTTCAAGCACTATGGAGTCATTAGCTGATTCTATATTATCCCTGAGCCTCTCACAGACCGTACAACATGCTCATTCCAAACTGTCAGCTGAGAAGTTACAGGCTATACGTTCTTTTACCAAACAATTAAAACGCGTTCAAGTAATTAAGCCGCAACGTCCATGTCGCAAAGGCCTGAAATCTGAAGTCATAATGGAGTCTAAATTACAAACTGAACAGAAACAAAAAGAGCTACCGAAAGTGACCGCGGCCAAGTTGGGCAATGAATCGGCGTTACCATCGATTGTTATGAGAACTTCGGCTAATGCACCAGCACAAGTTAACCCACAAATTCAATCAATTCCGCCAATGCCACCACAACCGCTAGTAATTTCGCAAAGCATGTTAGCTAAACCACAGGCCTCTAAGCCCATCGCGATTAATTTAAACACTTTCAGTGTGGCTCCAACCGCAGCTGTTGCCTGTAATTTAAATTTTAGCAGTAGCAGTTCATTTGTAAAAACCAGCAACATTATTACGTCCACTACGAATAATAATACTCCAAAGCTTTTAACAAATTCGACAGCTTTTACAGGTTACGGTTCGGGGGTGACCGCAGGCGGTTGCAATAGCAACTATCCAAAATCAGAAATAAAGGAGGCTCCTCATTTTAGCGCGACAGCAACCCCAGTTTCTTTCAACGCCAAAGTACTGCAGAGTAACGAATCGAAGCAGAAATCTAATATGAACACGTTTATAAAACCGGCCTTTTCGACTGATATAACTAACAATCAAAATTCGAAACTTCTTCATCCTACTATATCGTTAAGCAGCGGAAAGGATTCTAAAAATGTAGAAGATTTGGACGAAGCGTCTGCACCGACATTTAAGGGCTTTACTTTATCTAAGTCGACAGCTACAACAAGTGTGTGCGTGTCTTCTTCTGTTGCGGTTAACAGCTCAACTTTCAGTTTCGACGGTTTTGGTTCGTCGCCAATGGCAAATACGTCTTTTGCTAACTTTACCTCATCAGCTTCCGCATTTGGCGGTTCAAGCTCTGTTTTTGATACTGCTCCTGTTGGCTCAATATCTGCAACAAACACTGCTGTGAGCACAGCGACGGCAACCAGCAAAGCTGTAATATCTTGCCCTGCTGCTTCAAATGTTGTGTCAGTGTCTGAACACATATTAGAACCTATTGTTACAACTGCTGCTGATAAAGAGAAAACTTCCATTGACTTTATACCCAATTCAACTACACCAGGAAGGTAAATATGTTTTAACAGCAAGTTTTGGTACTTTCCCATTTTAATTATATTTTCCGTCTATAGTTTCAACTTCGCGAATCTTAATTTGGCTAATACATCCATAACTATATCTAAGCCATGTTCCGTTCCAAATGTCACTCCATCGACTACGTCTGTAGAGCCGAAGATGGCAGCGACCCCTCCAGTGATCGCTTCAATTTCTCCTAATTATACTGCTACAGATTCTCTACTTAGTTCTTTAAATGTTTGTAAGCCCTCATCCAAAGAAAAAGGAGGAGAAGTGCCTGAATCTCCCAATAATGTATTCTCGAGATTTGATAATGTAGCTGTCGAAGCGCCGCAGTTTTCTTTTGCTTTTGCAAGTGGAGGAGGAGATAGCTCTAAATCTTTCTTTTCTCCTGCCAACAACAGTGGCGGGCAATCGAGCGCGGGTGCTATTAGTAACTTCACTTTTTCAACCACAAATACTTTCGGAAAATCCACAATTACGGCCTCAACTACGACGAGTTCGCAAGCAAGTCCAGCAACAAAAACAATAGCTACTACCTCAGCTGCGTCGGGCATTGTTACAAGCAGTCCAAACACTTCAATTTCTGCAGCGAGCTCTTTCACTTTTGTCGATTCGACACCCCCTGGGACCGCAACAACTTCAATGTTTGGAGCTTTAAACTTAACCTCCTCAACGACATCGGCGCCTGCAGCAAGTACTGCTAACAACACGACTGCGCCGTTGACATTAAGTCCTGCTGCCAATTCTAATATATTCGGTGGGACAGGAGCGGGAACACAAGCTTTATTTGCCGGTTCTGCTTCTACAGTAGCCACTAGCACATCAACCAGTTCCATATTTTCAGCAGTTTCTTCATCTACTTCTATTTTCGGTGGAACATCATCAAGTCCATCTGCCGCTAGTGGAGGCAATATATTTAGCGGAATCCCTAAACCAGATCAATCCTTATTTACTGGCAATACTATATCAGCAACTGGTAGCGCTGGACTGTTTGCGGGAGCAACTGTTTCCGCTTCGCTTCCCGCAGCTGCGTCAGGTAATATTTTCAGTAAGTCAGCAGCGGCAGGCGGCGATGCTGGATTTGTTTCCCCTTCATCAGCGGTAGGAGGTTCAATATTTGGTAGCTCAGCTTCATCTAATCCTTTTGGTTCTTCGCCTGTTGTTGCGGCTTCTACTACTGCTTCTATATTCGGTGGCGGCAGCACTGTTACTAAACAAGCGGAAGTCACGAGCATATTCGGTTCTTCCACTCAACAAGCAGTTTCAAGTGGTGGCTCGATTTTTGGAAAAAGCGCTTTTGGCCAAACGACTGCGCAATCTCCGACGAATATGTTTGGAGGAGGTGCGTCGCAAACGGCGCCTTCTTCCGGTTTCGGTAGCTCTTCCATCTTTGGTAGTTCAACCAACAACGCAGTGTCAGGAGGTTCTTTATTCGGCACTGCAGGAAGTTCGACACCAGCTTTTGGCACAGGGAATGCAGCTTCACCAGGTTTTGGTGCCTTTGGAGCAAACCAGTCGCCCGCAACGTTTGGTGCAAGTTTTGCACAAGGCGGCACATCAGTATCTCAAAGCGGTTTCGGCTCGTCACCACAACAGCAACAACAGTCTGCCTTTGCTAAGCCCTTATTCGGAGCACCGCCTGCTTTTGGTAGCCCTAATGCTCCTTTCACGGGTTCGCCTACATTTGGTGGTGCACCTACATTTGGCAGTCCTAAAGCCTTTGGATCATTTTCCTCAACTTCACCCACGACGGCAGCAGCATTTGGTAACTCTCCACCTGTAGCGCCGAAAGGCAACATATTCGATACTTTGGGTTCTACTGAGGCAGGTTTATCATTTGGTAATTTGGCGCAATCGACACAGCAGCAAGCGCAATCAAAGCCCACTTTCGGAGGGTAAATAAACTTTAAATAGAACCAAAAATATTTCAATACAAAAACCTCTTTCTTACAGTTCCTCTTTTATGAATTATCGTTCTTAAATTTATCAAAGATTCAGTCCAGCGCAACAAAATTTATTATAAGATTCGTGTTTATTTCTCCTTTGATTAAGAGAAAAAGTTGCCAATGGACTTAAAAATTGCCGGGAAATTTCAATTGGGAGGATTTATTGAGAAGAAAGTTAACATCTTCTTCACTATTGCGGCTAAACTGTTTCTTTAATGATTACGAGTTCTTCAAATTTATTGTGAAAAGTAGAAAACGAGACAAGTTTATTCAATAAAAATCATTAATTATTTGTTTCTATAAAAACAACTGTAGAAAATGTACGAGTTAAAGTAGTATAACTAATTCGGATACGTCACTTTTTATGGCCTCTCTTGCCCATAGTCATGGTTTGGCAGGCACTATTGAATTGAATCTTGCGGTTGCTAAAATCTATAAACTCTTCTTCATATTTAATTCGAGCTTCCTCCAGCTTACGTTTGTCGTCTTCATGTTCCTTGTTTAGTTGTTCAGATTTTGCCTGTAATTCCAGCTGCATTTCTTTCAGCTGATTATCTTTTGTAATGCGGCGCTGCTCAAGCCTTTGAAGAACCTCTTCTTTCTTTGCCTGTAACTCAGAAAGATGTATAGATCTTTTCACTTCAAAAGCTTGTTGAAAAGATACCGCTTTAGTTTTCATTTCAACGTCCCCGAACCCCATTTCTCCTAAACGTTTCCGACGATAAAGCTCGTAATGTATGGTATGCGTTTGTTCTCTCATATCTTCCATATTTGTACGTATTAACATTTCCCGTAATTTCACAAAGTCACAATGACTTTCATTCTCAATTTGCACTATTCCCCAAGGATATTGACGAGCACGCATTTGCTTATTGCCAACGTTAACAAATTCATTGCTACCCACGACTGCAAAAGGTACATGATTGTTCATATTTTGATTAACATCCGTCTGGCCGTCGTCATTCGTTGGATATTCGTAAATGTTAACCTTATTTTTATTCAACTCTTCCATAATGGATGCCTTAAAACGCTGTAAGTCGCTCTTCGTTATAGCATCTGCTTTGGCTATAATGGGTATTATATTAACTCTTCTATCTAATTCCTTCATGCATAACAAATCTAATGTCTTTAATCCATGACCAGTAGGACAAATAAAGTATAAACAGGCGTGTATGCGACTGTCATGGAAATCCTTTAAGGAACGATTAATTTTTAATTCCTCTTGTAAATAGCTCTCGAATTGCACGTCAATATAATCTATCACTGCCTTGAAGGAGTCCGCTTTATTAATTTGATCGCCATAGCCCAAAGTATCGCAAATGGTTAGTTTTAATTTAACATTGTTCTCTTGCAATTCATACATGTGGGCCTTCAATTTAACAGTGTGCAATGTGTGCTCACAAGGCGTTGATTCAAAGCTGGTATTGAATAAGGTGTTCATTAAGGTAGATTTTCCTAAACCTGTCTCGCCAATGCACATCACATTGAAAACGAAACCATTTTGGAGGCTTCCGTTAACTAACTGATTCGGCAAAGAGTCAAATCCCACATGACCACTAGGACTAAGGCTACGTATAGTGTCTAAAGGCGGCTTCGGCAGAATTGCTGATGAGCACATTGTATTTTATTTCTTTTTTTTCGTCGCTTTTTGGATATGACTAAGGTAAAAAAAAATATAAAATCAAAAATTTAATAGAAACATGTATTTAAAGTAACAAAGTTGTAGAAAAAAAGTAGTAAATATTACGTTTAATGTAATTACAGTGACGTATTTGCATTTTTAATGAAATAAAGTTAAGTATTTGGGGTGAGGATCGTTGTAAGCATTCAAGAAATCATATTATATATATTGAACGTTTGAAGAGAACTTCTTATATTTTCAAATTTACTACAGTTACAGATTTCAGTCAATTCTCTTATATTGCAAATGTCGCAGGTGGCACTCGGTGAGAATTCGATCATTTTCTTATGGATTTTGACATCAGACTGACAACTCGTTAGCCCATTAGGGCATTTCCATCTTGCAAGATCTGAATAATGACTCCGACAGTGATTTAAAGGATTTTGATTATGAGAGTTTTTTTTTATATATCAGAGGCATAGTAAAATTTCTCTGGCACTTGGTAGTAGCTGTCTTTACGGTATGCCAATTGTCAAGTGGGGTATATTAGAAACGTTATTAAGAACGGTGCCATATCTATGAAGGTATTGTATTGTTTTGATAACAGAAATAGGGTTTTTCCTGACTGGGTTTTATCAATATTTCTTTTTTGGATACATGTTGGCAGCAGAATGTTGTTGAAAATTTTAGCTGCATAGTAGTACCTTACAAAGCGAGTGGAATTTTGTGAAAAAGCGAAGGCTTTATAACATTAACGGTAATCAATTATCAGGCTGTCAGAAAGAGGGCTATTTTCTGGGAGGACATTTCATGTGAAATGACACTGAGAGGAGGAATTGGAGTCAAAGAAGGCAACATTTAAAAATTCTATAAATGAATAGTAAAAATAAGATCTCGATATGTGTTTGAATTGTTCTGCACTAGAGCGCAATTTACAATCGATAAATAATTGCAATATTAAAACCAGCGTTGTATAAATGTCGTACAATTTCAAATGTCGTACAATTCCAAATCAATATCTGCCGTTTACCTTTTTACGATATTGTGTGTAATTCTAGGCTTCATGTAAATACTGCAAGAAATCATGAAGAACTAGGAAATTAAAACGTTTTTAGACACAAACTTTAAAGTGAAAACGAAAACAGAAGAAAATACATGTTGGACGTAAACTGAGTCCATCAGCTAAGTTTCCAATAATTGTAAAAAACGTTTATGCATTAAATGCGAATGTTAAGGCTGCCTGCGCAAGTAACGAAATAGGCGATAACGAGTCACACTTGCACGTACTGAATTGAAGATTGCCTGAGTGTTATTGGGCTTGCATTAAAAATGCATGATTCCGCTCTATTCAAGTGAGCGGCCATTAAAAATAAATTATCTTTCTCTTTTAAAAAGAGAAGTAAATAAGTTGTCTTTCTAAAAAAAATTGAAAATATTGAATGCTTTTCTCATATTCGTTTAAGATAATTAAATAACTTAAAATTGTTATAGAGCATGTGATAGTAGATCTAAAATTCTACTATAACCAACGAATATAGAATAAAAACCAGTTTTCCTCGATAATCTCCATCTTTATTTGTTTCCCATAATTTGCATAAACTTTAAAACTGATACCAATACCAGGTAAATAAAAGATATAAAATATGGCTCTAATAAACTAATACATTCTCATGATATATACTTGGATATGTTTGCTTATTATGCTCCGCCTCTTGGATTTGACGTTAACGAAGTCAAACTCCGCCTTATAATTTTTGTTGTTGTTGTTGTTGTTGTTGTGCATTTAAAATACATTGCGCACATACCATGATAAGTGAAAAGAGTTTACGAAACACTAAAAGAGATTCTTCACTTTATATGCTCGTAATGGAATATTTCATTCATTTAATCGTTAAATAAATATTTTTATGAAAAATATTTATCTAAAGTATGATTTGAACTATGGATGCAAGATTTTCTTGCGAAAAAACATTTCAGTTTATATTGCATTGTGTCTCATAAGATAACAGTGAGAAGAGTGGTGAATGGGTGCATAGATCGCGGTCTGCGGTCTATTCCATTATCCATCTGTAAAACTGGTCATTGTTATCTCTTCATGTGTAACTGTTTAATTGTTGAATTGTTAACAAAAACACTTGCACAAGTTATGTGTGATTGACACAAAAATGCTTTAAGTTTACCTTAAAATACCTTAAAATAGCCGGCATCCACATCTGTACAAAGCTGGCTCGTTGCTTAACGTTTATATGTTGCTGTCGTTTTTTTTCTTTTTTTCTTTTTTCTATAAATTAAAGTTATTTCAAATTAAAACATACTAGTGAGTAGAGTGTAAGTGGGGTTTTTTTTTTTATTGTGTGTTGCAAAATCTAAATCTACCATAACTGCTTTTTTTTGTGTAAAGCTTTCTATATATGAGATAGTTTTTATTGGTTTCGTATGACACAAGCATTGCTTTTAGTCGTAATTGCGAACCATAAGGACTATTAGGTCGCTGTACTATGATACAATGATGATGGTGTTAAGGCCGAACATACATAAACACAACAATTATGTATAATTTTTATCATTAACGTTAAAGAAATGGTACTTCGCAAGAAAAAAAAAAAATTAAAAAAAAAAAAAATAGAAAATATTAAATAAAAAGAGCGCACGAGTTTTTTCTTTAAAAATCTAAAAACGTTTCCAGGTAATTATGCACCTGTTGCCACATTCTCCTGTAAATATTTATTTGTGCACATTTTTATATCCACAACTGAACGATGAAGGTATATCAATTTTGTCATTACGCTCGCCGTAAAGAAATAGACACATGAAGCATATGTACTCTTAACCAATGTGGGATACGGAGTTGAATAGACCATATCTGTCTGCTTGAGAGTTTTGAAGAGTGTTATGTTTACACTTGAGTTAATAAGACATATTGAAGAAATCTATTTCGAAGTCAGTCACCAAATGCCAGTCGGAGTCGATTAAAGACTTGGTTTATGGTTTTTTTTTTTTTCAAATTTATGCTTCTTTTTTGCTTTTGGCAAACCTGTAAGTGGTTTAACGACGCCCAGAGCTTTATCTTAAGAAAAAATTTATAAAAACCACTTGTACCTAAAATGCGTTAACTAATTATTATGAAGCAAACGTTAAAGTTTTCCAAGGCTTTCCGGCTGTTTTCCTCCTACAAGCAAACCGCGTGTTATTTTTCCCTTTCAATAAAAACGCAGCATGAAGGAGTGGCAAGTACAACTGCAGAAAAGGTGTGCATACATCGAAAAATAATTCTTTAAAGAACTGCAATTTTTTTCAATAGTAGCTGACACATCGCAACGAAGTGGAAATTCAAAATTTTCCCAACAACACTTCGTATACCGCTTCCGATACATAATTTAATGGATAACCTTCGAACTAGTTATCCCCAGTGTGCGGCGCATATTTTTTCAATAAATACTCTCTTCAAATGTTGGCATCGTTTGCGGCCTTTACAATATGTATGAAATTGCATATAAAGCCATCATCCGCTTATCACGGTTAGTACGAACTATGCCTAAACCGTGTTATATGAAACTATTTTATTTTCTCATTCCAATTAAAATATCATACAGAATAATAAAATTTAAGCTCAGATATAACATAAAACAAAAAATATATATCGGATTGTCCTGGGCTAGAAGTATTGCATTTGGAACGATTAACCCTTTGAACATTCTACAATCAGCTTCAGAACAGAATATCAATTCAATATTTTACTTTATTAATACTACTAAGCTTATTATCTAATATCCATTTATTTAAATTAGAGCCGATAGCCTGTGTTGCTAGTGCTCAATGTCTTTTTTTTAATCTAAGAATTCAATTCATTAGTCTAAAATTAAAATAATAATAATAATAATAATAATAATATATCGGATTGCATCGAAAACTTGTTTGCGTTGTATCCAATGTAAATCAGTGCAATATGTACCGTCTTGTATCGAAATCAAATCTTAAATTGTAAAATTTTTTTAATTTTTAAAATTTCTTTTCAAATATATAAATAAATAAAAAAGTAAGAAAATTCGTCACCGAATCTTTTCTGCTCATCACTGTTATTCTTAAAAAGAAAACAAAGAGAGAGAATTATACCTTTATACCCTGTAATGTTGGATGGACGCAGATGATTTTTTCGATTTTCAGAATAAGAAAAATGTAGAGAATTTTATATGGCGTATGTCTTGTACTTTATGAGTAAGAAGCAACATACATGAAAAGCAAAAATGTTTTCAGTTTTTGGCGTATTGGCGTTGAAAAGTTTAGGTCATTTTCAAGTTCTTTTGCAACTTTGTAGGCGATATTAACGAGAGGATGTTTAACACAAATCAGCAGACAGACAGATGGACAGACGAACAGACAAACATGCTTAGATGCAATCCGAGTTTGAAACTGGTCAAGAATTTATATATTTTGGGGGATTTTTGAAGCGCCTTATAATGGTATAGAAAAAATTTAAATTTTCATACCCTATAATGGTTAAATCGATTCAAGATTTCGGATGTTTATCGAGCATATATACATCTGGTGAGGTCTCCCGTCCGTCGATAATGGATATAAAAATCATAGCAAAAATCAATTCAAAAAAACCATATTCGATATTTTGAAATCATGTTGTATCGAAACCGCATCATAATATTTATAATTGTTGTATCGTGTTAAGCGAGTAACACCTGTATTTGCCAGATGTGGCGAAAGGAAAAAAAGTGTGAATGGCATGTAGGGGATTTGCCGCATATCTTAGAGTTATTTGAAGTGTTTTTGTGAAAATGGTTGCCTCCGCGGTCAGTCCGATTTAGAGATGGAGCAGTGATCATGAGGAAACTGCCAGCTTTTATAAGACTTTATTATCATATGCAGGCTGATTTTTCTAAGAATGTTCACGTAATAGGGGCATGAAAAGTGTTGCTCATCCACATATATTTTCATATATCTGAAAATACTGTTTTAGAATTTCAACCCGCTTCGTAGTTTTCCATTCCATATTTAATGAAAAACAACTCAACTTTAAGGATTGCAAATCTATTTTCACTAGTGGATCTAAAAAAG